ATTCATTGTTGCACTATTCTCTCTACCCTCCTCCCAATTTGTTCTTGTCCAAATGCCACAGTGCTTGTCAAAGCCAGTTCTGATTAATCTTTGTCAGTGTGTCCTTCGCCATTCCCCTCTATGAAGTCAAATAGACCTCGCTTGAAAGTAGAGAATACCAGAAAAACCCCTTTTAAATATGTTTTATTCACTATGCAAACAGATTTGGTCACACAGTTCAGAATAAACTACTGTTAGTACTGCAAAGAATGGGAATTTCAGAAAGCTAAATTGGGTTCAGGAAGAACTTGTACATAAATAAAGAAACAGTCATAAGAAGATTCTTGCTCACAACATCATTAAAAACATCAGGGTTGTATTCTTTCACCACACTCATTAAATTCGTAGCCTAAGCAAGTAATTTTAGATGCTGTAATTTTAGTTATTTAAAGGAAAGCTCTCCATTAAGATTGGCTGAAGAATCAACATGTCTTGCTCATTAAAAGTGAAGACTTGAAGCATTTACTTGTGAAGATCAAAGGTTTCAACTTTCAGTATGGTGTACACCTGAACATAAAACAAAACTCTTTATAACCAGAATAATAAACCACACCATAATACACAGGGGGGAAGACTGAAATTTTCAAGGAATTCATTATACATAGACACATACAAGTATCCATGAATGTTGCAGTACAGAAATCAATTAACATATTGTATTTGAGCTGTGGTGCTAAAGAAGAGTACTGAGGGTACCATGGACTGCTAGGAAAACGAACAGATTCATCCTGTAAAGGGTCAAACTGGGCGGTTCCTTGGAGGCAAGGATTCTGAGGCTCCATCTAATATACTTTGGACACATTGTAAGGAGAGACTGGTCCTTGGAGAGGGACATCATGCTTGGTAGGGTGGAGAAACAGTGCAGGAAGGGAAGACACTCTATGAGGTGGATTGATTCAGTGACTGGGGTAATCGGGATGGGTGTATCAGAGATGGTGCGATTGGCCCAGGACAGAGTAGAGTTTAGGGCCGTTGTACATAGGGTCGCTATGAGTTGCAAGCGACTCAATTGCACATAATGACAACAACAACATTTGGGGGGGATGTGCTACAAAATGTCTCCTTAAAGCTAAAAAGCAAAGATGTTCCCTTATCCATGCCTGGTATTTTAAGTAGCCTCAAATTCATATGTAAATTTGATGATGAGTAAGGAATTGATGGTTTTGTACTACGATATTGGTATAGAATATCAAATATACTATGAATCTCCAGAAAAATAGATGTTTGGGAAAAAATAAAACCAAAAGTAAGGATGATGAGACTTCATCTTTTGTGCTTTGGATTTTGGGTTTCTTGATATTGAAGTGTAATTCATACTGAAGTCTTTAAGCTTCTGCAGCAAGAATCCCAAATCCTCTTTATTTTCTGCAAGCAAGGTTGTATCATCTGCACAATGCAGATTCCTGTGGCTTCCCTCCAACTCTGATTCTTCATGTAGTTTAGCTTCTCAAATGAACTGTGGAACCTCATAATGCACAAACTGAACCACATATTGTATGCTTTATTCAAGTTTTAATTAAAGAGAACTCCTATTTTTGCTAAATAAATGGCACAATATTTGGAAGTAGGAGAATATAAGCACAGTACCAATTTACTGGAAAACTGAGTAAGAAAAACTACATGTATGTAGGTTGTTGATGCTGTTATGTGCTGTCAAGTCAAACCCGATTCCTAGTTAACCTTCCAGCAGGTTTTCAAAGGCAGTAAATCGCATGGGAAGAGTCTGTTCATCTCTTCCCTCTGGTGCAACTCATGGATTTGAACTGACTGTCTCGGTGTTGGCAGCGTGGCTCCCTGTACACACACACACACACACACACACACACACATTTTACTTTGAGACACAAGATTGATAAATATTGGTGAGCTCTGGTGGCCTAGAAGCTGCACGGCAATCCCAGAGGTGTGCGGTTCGAATCCACTAGCAGCTCTGCTGGAGAAGAAAGGACAATATCCTCCTGTACCAGTCAGATCCGATTTGACAGTACACACACACACACACACACACACACACACACACACACACACATTTATAAAAAAGACAGCTTTTTAGAATTAATAATGTGAGAATACAACGGTAGAGATAATAAATTCATATTACAAGTATGGCATAATAATGAAGCTATTTTATTTACATGGTGGAAGAATATTGCTAAATTAAAAAACGTCAAACTATTTAAATTTACAATAGAAGAACTTTTTTATCCTACCTTAGTCTTTAAAGGTAGATTTAGAAAGACTAAGGTGTGCTTGGGTGAAGTCTTGACATTTTCAATTGCTTCCTATGTGTGCTTGGGCAAAGTCTTGGTATTTTCAACTGCTTCCTATGTATTGGAAGGCTGAACAATAAGTAAGAAAGATCAAAGAAAAATAGATGTTTTTTTAACTGTAGTGTTGGAAACAAGGACCGAATATACCATGGACTGCCAAAAGAAGAGACAAATCTGTCTTGAAGGAATTACAAACCAGAGTGCTCCTTGGAGGCAAGGATGATGCAACTTTACATACATTGGACATGTTGTTGGAAGATACAGGCCTTGGAAAGAGATGTGATTTTGAGAAAGATAGAGAAGGTCTGCAAAAGGGAAGAAGATCCTCAATAAGAAAGATTATCAAAGTGACTACAACAGTTGCTTGAGTGTGATAGACAGTACAAGGATAGGGCAGGGTTCAGCTCTGTTGATCTGTGGGTCATTGTAATTCATAGCTGACTCAATGGCATCTAAAATCACCATGTTGTCCTATGTGATTGGGAATAATATATATTATACTTGGTTACTGTAACTATCCCAAAACAATCAAACCAAAAACCCAAACATTATAATTGACTTGGCTTTCACTCAGTGACTATAGTGAAGACAGTAGAACTGATTCCTGTGGTTTCCAAGGCTGTAATCTATATAGAAATAGATTGCTGAATCCTTCTCCTGCAAAGTGTATGGTAGGTTTACATTCCAATTTTTCCATTTAACAGCCAAGTTTTTTAACCACTGTTCCATTGTGATCCCTTGGTAACTATAATTGATGGCATTTCAATATTGAATATGAATTAGTATCTCTGAATGCTGAAGATAAGTTATTGATTTTAATTTATTACCTATAATAACAATCTGGAGAGAGGATGAAAGGCACCCAAGCGTCAAAGACTCTCTTTCATAGGGTCGCTATGAGTCGCCTGCAACTCAACGGCACTTAACAACAACAACAACAACAACATAATAACAACAGGAATAGTCAAAACAACATTAAGAACAATTTGTAGAGAAAACAGAGAATAAGGTAATTTGCCTTAAGTCAAGAACTGAGTCAAGAATATATTTAAACAAATTTTTCAGTTGCTTGATATACATGTGAAAATTGCATAAATAGTAAGAAACATCCAAAGAATTAATGTCTTTGAACTATGTTATTGGCAAAGAGTATTGAATATAGTATGGACTCCCAAAAGAGAAAAAATATAGGGATTAGAAGGGGGAGAAAGAACACTTTTATCTTATTTACTTAAAAGCTATCTACTGGCATAGTTGGAAACAGTTTGTATAAACCAAGTTTTTGGTACTCAACTGTCTTTTAAATTTAAGAGGTATTTTATTTTTGTCTTTATGCCACAATCATATACTAAAAGCAAAGCTGCTTGTA